AAAAAAAAAAAAAAAAAAAGATTTAACATTTTTAATGCGTGCTAAAGGAAATGTGTATAGTCTTGCAAGTATGTAAGCACATGGGCTGTTTTTTTTCTCTTCTGGACTTCATCCTACTCTGCCAGTACCACCAATACCACCTTAGGAGACTTGATCTGGTCTCCATACTTCTGGACCATCCTTAGCACCAGAAGCCTCAATTCTTAGAGCAAAGGAGCCCTGACTACCTTCCCTAGACTGAGCAGGAACCATCTGAATGTATTCCTATTGACACTGTTTCTCCACTCCTTTCCTCTCTGTTTGTGCCTCCCTCTCCACCCCAACCTGGATGTCATCCTCTGCAAGTACCCAGCTCCTCTAGTCAGTCCCTGACCTATGCTCTGGATCCATCTACTCCATGCGTGGTTTGTTTACCACCAGCAGCACCAGCACCTGGGAGCTTATCAGAAGTGCACATTTATGGACTTGCCCCACACCTACTGAATCAGAATATCTGGGGAGGTTGGGGGTGGGCAGTAATCTATGTTTTCATAAGCTTTCCAGGTGATTCTTATGCACACTAACATTTGAGAGCCTCTCTTAAAAACTTAAAGTGGTGTAAATATAAACTTAAATGCTTGTGCAAAGCAATCAAAGGGAGGAATTCTAGAAATAGAATAAAAGAATTAAGGCAGGCCAGGCACAGTGGCTCACGCCTGTAATCCTAGCACTTTGGGAGGCCAAGGTGGGAGGGTCACTTGAGCCCAAGACCAGCCTGGGAAACATAGGGAGACCTTGTCTCTACAAAAAACACAAAAATTAGCTGGACATGGTAGCACGTATGTATAGACCAACTACCTGGGAGGCTAAGGTAGGAGGATCACTTGAACCTGGGAGTACAAGGCTGCACTGAGCTGTGATCATGCCACTGTACTCCAGCTGGGCAACAGAGCAAGACTTTGTCTCCCAAAAAAAAAAAAAAAGAAGGTAATGACAGATAAAGAGGAGCTGAAGACACTCAGTCAGTCAGTGTTTGTCCTCAGCCCCACTCATAGCTGCAAGTCAGGAACAGTAGAAAGCTGTGGAGGACAAAGGAGCCATGGGATCTGCCCTTGCAGGAAGCCAACAGTGAGTGTGTGAGGATATGAGGTTGCATAGGACCTTTGCAGGAGATTCCATGAATATTGGTTATGTACATTAAAGTCATGGTGCAGGAATTGGGCAGGAGAGATCTAATTGCAGTTCTCAGAGATACCTGTGGAAGTGTTCAGGAGTCTCTGGAGTTAGCAGAGAGAGAGAAACCCTGTAGGAACTGAGGACTAACAGTAAGAGAGGCCTTTCTCCAAAAGGAGAGTGGAACATGGTCCCTGATTGGCAGTAGAGAATCTCCACAGGATGGAAATGGGTGTTTTTCAGGGTTCGACGAGAACCTGGACGTGCAGGGGGAGTTGATTCTTCAGGATGCCTTTCAAGTGTGGGACCCAAAGTCGCTGATCCGGAAGGGGCGGGAGCGGCACTTGTTCCTCTTTGAGATCTCCTTGGTTTTTAGCAAGGAGATCAAAGACTCTACAGGACACACGAAATATGTTTACAAGAACAAGCTACTGGTAGGTGGGGCAGGTGGGGTAAGACAAGACTCCCTGCTTTCATAGAACCCATGGGCAGGAAGGGAACTGGACACACTCATCTCATCTCCTCCCCAGCCTCCACACCAAAACCATCCTGGACAAATGAAAATGTCTCCTATTTGGAAAGCACCCCCCTTCACCTCCCACGTCTGCATTTTAGAGTTCACAGTTCTTCTTTCTGTTTGCTTTTAGCACCTCCCTCTTCACCTTCCCTCCCTGGTACCTGCTAATCAGGCACGTGCCTGTAGGTCCTTCCATCCTGGGTAGATGAACAGAATATCCAATCTGTTAAAGTTTGATTGACAGAAGCCCCTCCCTCGGTCCTCTCCTCTTTGTTGCCTTTCCCTTCCCACCCCAGCCCTAAGTTTCCCCACTGCCCTCCCCTTCCCCGCCTCTCACAGGCATTTCCTGTCTACAGACCTCAGAGCTGGGTGTGACCGAGCACGTGGAGGGCGACCCCTGCAAATTTGCCTTGTGGTCTGGGCGCACCCCATCCTCAGACAATAAAACAGTGCTGAAAGTAAGTACTGCTTTCTGCTAGGCACAAGACCAGGGTTGGAGGTAGTAGAAGGTGGGGGGTGGGCAATTGACGCCTGAAAGTTAAGGCCCAGAGACTCTACTGAGCCATGGGCCTCACTTGGGAATGGCAGCATCCCATGGGTATTGAGAAATAAATTCTGTCATAAAGGTACACCCAGAATCTCAAAGAGGCATGATCTCCTCAAGTGCATGCACGTGTGACAAAGAGGGAAGAAAGCAGGGAGTGGCCTGCGGGGCTACCTCAGCAAGACCCACTTAAACTGTGCTGTGTCCGTATGTCTTCCTTCAGATGGCAAGAACAACTGACCCTTTGACAAAAGTCACCTTGATTTGCTCCACATTAATTTGACATTTTTTCCTAAATAGCTTCTGTATAGAAGGCATAGTACCTAGTGTGGTGGGGGATAACTGTACAGGATATGGATCTTATTCCCTGGGAACCTACATTCTTAAACCTCTAGTAAATCACATTAGCATGGGGACCATAATGATGGAGAGAAGTGTCAAGAGGGGCCTTTCACCAGAGGACGGCCTTGAGTCATTGCAGCTCTCTGGGGTGCAGCAGTGATGTTAGCGTGGCTGAGCAGCGATCATGCAGACAATAGAGCTCCCAGCAGTCATTTACTTGTCAGGAAAGTGCCCATCACCAAGGAGAAGATGGTCCAGCCCCAACAACAGCTTCATACTTGTTCACTCTGAATTGCCAGCATAGCTGCTACCTGTTGTGAGGCAGAATTACCAGAAAAAAAAATCTACCAAGACAAATGGGATCATCATAAAATGATAGCAGTGCCTTCAGTTAGCAGAGTTAGCTTGCCACAAACCCAGGGTTGACTCCTAGTCAGTACAAGTTTGTGTATCCATGCTAGGTGAACATCCTGACATATATCCATACTGATTGGAAAGTAGATACTGCCTCTCCCAGTGCCCACTAGAACTTCCCAGGACCTAGCAACCCAAGTGTTAATCCCTGTCCTGGGGGAACCTCCAGATACTGTTCCAGCTCCAGGGCAGATATCAGGATTGGTCAGTGCTTTATGGGTTATGAAATACTTTGACAGTTACTCCCGTACAAGTAATTCTGCATTGAGTCTTGAGGTCAGAGCACTGCCCTGGGAGTTGAAGAAGCCTGTTTCTGGTATTGAAAAGTCATAAGTATGAAATGAAAACATTTCATACTTATGAAATGTTCCCCAAACATTTGGAATCCTTGAAAATAATGGATGAAGACTGCTGGTGGAGGGTTGAGAACTGTTTTTGGCAAGATGATGGGAGTTGGGGTTCTCAGTCTTTCTCCCTGTGGCACTCCAGGCCTCCAACATTGAAACCAAGCAGGAGTGGATCAAGAACATTCGAGAGGTGATTCAAGAAAGGATCATTCACCTGAAAGGAGCTTTAAAGGAGCCACTTCAGCTCCCCAAAACACCAGCCAAACAGAGGAACAATAGTAAGAGGTAACCAGCGCCTCTCCCTCCAGCACTGCCTGCCTCCCAGGCCTCTGGGTACGGGAATGGGATGAACATTTGCTTCTGGAGGGGAATGTGCCCTGCACAGTGGCACTCTCCAGGAAGGCCTGTGAGTTCCACCTAGGATGAGTCATTTCATCTTTAAGCATCTCACCAGTGTCAAATTCAGCAGGGCTACATTGAGCACCTCTTATTTAATAAACACTCTGCTAGGTGCTGCAAGATAAAAGGAAGTATAAGATGAGTCAGTTCCCTTAAGAGCCATCTAATAGTCATGTCTCACACATGAAATAGACCAGAACCACCTATAGGGACCATAAATTCTATAAGAATTCAAAGAAAGGGAACTTGAGATGAGCCCTAGAGTGGAATAACTCTCTGGGCTGGCTAGATATTAGATAGTGAAAGGGCTTTGTGTACTGTAATGTGTGGGGTGGTGGTTTCATTGCAGCTCTTACTGCAACCCCCACAGAGACCTCACATCCACTCACCTATAATAAGCAATGTCATTGGGCAGAAGAGGACATATTTCTTATATCTTTCTGGACCTTTCTGAATCCCAGTTTCTGCTAAACCCGTGGATGACTTCTTAAGTATTTCTTTCCCAAGTCTCCATGTGACACCTACATTTATAATAACTCTTTTGGGGGACACTTCTGAAGAAAGCATACAAAAACTTCACATAAATTTTGAAGAAGAAAAAAGCCCAGAGTTCTGGCAGAGATGGTCATTGGTGGTAACAGGTTCTTCCTTCCTCCCCTGTACATGAATGGAATAAATCTGGAGGATTTAGTTCACCCTTAGACACCAACCAGGACAAGCAGGGTAGGGAGCCATTTAAGGGCCTATGAAGCAGCAGCAGTCCTGAGTGAGGTGGTAGCCAAAAGAAGGGTGTGACTATGGTAGAGAAACTTCCATGGGGCAGAAGCCCCGGGACCTGCATGACCAGGATAAGGCCACCTCCTCAGTGTTGCATGGGCAAATTATAACTATTCTGGGGGAAGAGTCATTTTGACTTAAGTTGTCTATGTCCAGAGTCCAGGTAAGGAGGGGGTGGACTAAAGTCTGGCAGTGGAGATAGGTCATGCTTCAGGGAATTCCTACTTTAATAAAGAAGTTAGAAAGGAAACAGTTATAAAGAAATTATGGTCTAGGACCACAGAGAGGATACTCAGGTGAGGCTCACTAGGGTCAATTACCCTGCAATAGCCTCTTTTTCCTATAGTAGGAGAGTTTGAGCATTTCTAGAACATGGAAATGGAATATCTTGGAAATGCCCTTTTCTCTGCTCTCACCTTTTCTCTTGTCATTTGATGGGTGGGTGAGAAACCTTGGCATACTCTTCAGAGAATAGCCAGGCAGTCTTTAATTCCAGTAGCTTAGGTTCCTGGATATGGAGACAGTTTATAGAGGAGTGCATTGGTTGGGGAATGCTACCTACACTCCTAGGTGGGCTCCCCACATCCCCAGAAGTGGCTTCATCTGGAGTAGACCAGAAGAGCCCACAATGGGCCATAATAGTGGGAAGCAGAAAGTACAGCCAGCTCTTAACTGTCTACACATGGTGGGGAGCGCTCGCCCAGATAATCCAAAACAACAGATGATCTAAAAGTCCTTTATTTTTGGTTTTGAAATGCGTCACATAAATTCTTTTTACAGCAGATTTTCCTTCCTATGAATGTGTGGCTTATGTTAGCAAAATAAATTGGCATTTCCTAAGCCCACAAATGATGGTGAGAGAGCAGTTGACTTAGAAGTGTTCTGGGTGGGTGAAAATACTTTTTATGGTGAATAGACATTGTGTGTATACATGTGTACATGCATGGGTATTTGCATACACACACATCTGCATACACTCACACATACACCAGAGCATAACCATTTAGACCCTTTGAGGTGAATTCGTTATTTGTGTCACCTTGTTCATTTGGTAGGATTCTCAGGCTGTCAGTTTTCTTGTTCCCTGATGCCATTACTTCTCCACAAATATCATCAGGGTGTCTTTTGTAAAAGCACCCATGAGAAGAGCTGTCATTTCCTGTGCTAATTCACCCAACCCCAACCCTACATTGCCACCAGCTTTTCCAGGAACAGGCCTTGCAGCCTTCATTAGTTTCCAGACATCCAGTCCTTCCTGGCCATGGCTGTGGGCTCAGTATAGGATGGGGGCACAGTTCTACAGCTGGAGAGCTGAAAGAACATGGGAGTGGGACAGCTGTATGATACAGGGCCCAGCAAGGGGTCTAAATGCCAGGAGCGCACTCAGGAGACTCTTAGCTGACAGTCAGAAGCACAGCTGGCTCCAAAGCTGCTGTGGAACCTGTGACTGTTCTCCAATCTTTGAGAAAATGCCTTGGCCTTCTGTATTGATAAGAAGTCATTATAAATATGCATGAGATCCTTGAAACTCACCCAGAGGAAGGCAATAAATTCCTCCTCCACACCCAGGAGTTGAGGGTCCAATATCAGGAATTTCTCAATGATAATATTCCCTGGAGGCAATATTCCACTCAATCTGTTTTCTTGAACAGAAGAAACACAAGTTTAAAAGAAATCTTGGCCAGGTGCAGTGGCTCACACCTGTAATCCCAGCACTTTGGGAGGCCAAGGTGGGTGGATCACCTGAGGTCAGGAGTTTGAGACCACCCTGGCCAACAGGGTGAAACCCCGTCTCCACAAAAAAATACAAAAATTAGCTGGGCACGATGGCAGGTGCCTGGAATCCTAGGTACTTGGGAGGCTGAGGCAGAAGAATTGCTTGAACCTGGAAGGCAAAAGTTGCAGTGAGACAAGATCACACCACTGCACTCCAGCCTAGGTGACAGAATGAGACTCCGTTCAAAAAATAAAAATAAAAGAAATAAATCTTATCACTTCTGTTTTCTCTATAGGCCAGCTGTAAATGAACCCTCATCCTAATTACAGTATGTACAAAAACTTGAATACCCTGAACTTGTGATTATTGGAAATGACCTAATCACCTGGTTAGATGCCTAGGCTCTAAGTAGGATATATATCTTCCTACTGCCTATTACAGACCCATTCCCAGTAATATAAATATATAAATATGTAATATATAAATAAAAAAAAAATATACACACACACACACACACACACACACATATATATATTTCTTTTTCACATATACATACACCCCTTCTGCAGCATAGGCTGGAGAAGTTTTGGGGAAGAGGGTCATTTTACATTTAGTTATCAACGTAGTGATTATGTGTTTACTAAGTGCAAGAAGTGACATCACTGAAAATCACATAGGGCCATTCTCTTTAGCAGGATAATTTTAGACAAATCCCTGCTAGAAAGTACTGAGGCGCTGCTCTGCCCATCCAGCCGGAAATCCTTGTGAGCTCTAAACCCACAGTGGTTCCCCCCACCCCCACCCCTGTTTTTTTTCTCTTCTTCCTGCAGGGATGGAGTGGAGGATATTGACAGCCAGGGGGATGGGAGCAGCCAACCAGACACCATCTCCATTGCTTCTAGGACCTCTCAGAACACAGTGGACAGTGACAAGGTAGGACAAAGTCCTAACCTTCCTTCCCCTGAGACTCCTTGTTGACTCAACCACCCCTGGAGAGGGACCCCTAGAGAATTTCTCTCACTATGGATCCTACCTTCGGGAGCCAGTTGTCTCTTTATGCCATCCAAGAGGGAAAGAACAGGGCTGGAGGAGGTATGTCCCAGCATGAGATCTGGTCTGAGGGGATGGAAGACTGTGGTGGTTGAGGCTGACCTCTGACATTGGGAGAGTTTAACAGAAGTAGAAAGGCTGAGTAGTAAAGGAGTCTAGGTTTCTTCTCCTTCTGAGATGCCCCACCTGGGCTTCTTGGGCTGTTATGCCTTCTTGGAGGATGGATCTCAGGGAGGTTGAGTTGGAATAGTGTCCTGAGACCTTAGTGGCTATGGTTGGCTCAATTTACAATGATTTGAGAAGAGCTCATCTCAAAGTTAGGCCAAAATTAATGGTTTGGGAAATGGCCAAAGGGACTCTAATGGAAATGATGCTTTCCTCTGGCCAGATTACTGGGGCTCAGTTGCTGAGAGACAGGACGACCAGACAGTTGTATATGAAGGATGTAGTTGTTGTGTAAGAAAGCCTGACCACTTGCTTTCTAACATTTTGGAGCAAGTAAGCAAAAGTTAGTAGCTCTGATGGGAAAGCAAACGACAAGAAACTGTAGCAAAGCTTCTGTGTATTTGCCCCAGCTAGTTGAGGAATGCAACCGCCGGAATTTGTAGCAGAGGGAAGAAAGGGTCCATGTCTGAGCCTACCCTCCTTTGCTTACTCGAGAATCCAAAGAGTATGAGATGATGTTTTGCTGTGTATTAGTGATATTATTAAGTTCTGGGTTTCCAAAGATTATTTGTCCCTAGTTTATCCAGACCTAGTATTTTGGCCTGCTCCTTCAGGCTCAGACAGCTGGCTGTGTCATTGCTTCATTTTAGTTTTCTAAGTTATAGGTATTTCTTTTAAAGATGATCTGCATTCATTAGGATTTTTTTTTTTTTTTTTTGCTGGGAGAAAAAAAAACATTGAGACCTTAGTGTGGGGACTGTGCCCCTAACTTGCTGAAATGATGGTGCCAAATCACCCTAATCATGCTTTAGACTAGTGCTCAAGGTTATTTCAAGGTAGTTCTGACAACTGCCCTTAAGTTTTTAAGCCATTTTCTACTGACTATCGGAGTGGATGGAAAATTAGTTTTTTTTCCACTTGTAAAAACATACAAACAGAAAACATTTCTGTAATTTCCTGTCTCCTCTGACCTGTTGTCTAGAAATGTAACCTAGTGTTCCTAGTGTATAAAACGTGTTCCTCTTTAAATAGTCAGTGGGTGGTAAGTCAAGTGTACTGTTTCCCATGTTCAGACATGGACTATTAGTGTCATGGTCCAGGGGATTCATCCCTTCCAGATGCCAATCCATCTTCCCAGCAGCTAACTTTGACACAGACCCCTATGCTAGAGCCATTTGTTTAAGAAAGACCTCAGCTTCAGCTATTCCTTGTCTTTCTGGCAAGGTAGGTGAACCTGGGCTAGCCATTTTACTTTTAATGAGGGGTCCTGGTACTTAGACCTTATTCTGCAAGTAAGGAAGCAGGCTCAGAGAAACTAAGTGACTCACCCAAGAAAATTCTAGTAGTTAGTGGGAAGGCAGGAACTAGAACGCAGATCTCCTGATTTTTCATGTTTTTCCCCACTCTGAAACTCAAAGCGTTGAGTTCTTGATGCTAGGATGAACTCAGCTGGTCAGTTTTTCTGCATATGTTGCATAAACACTCACATATCTGTGTAGAAGCACCTATCATGTGCCAAGCTCTGTGCTGGTTGCTGTAGAGAGATGTGGACTATTTGTTGAGTGTGAATCTCTGCTTGTATAATTTTTTGTTTCATGTCTGTCTCTAGAGCCAGGTCATTGAGCCCTAATGAAGGCAAGAGCTGTGTCTGTCTGTTTCATTGATGTACTCCTGACATGCAGCACATAAGGGCTCAGGATATACTTGTGAAATGGATCAATAGAGGGGACAAAGTGACTGGTCTCAGGAAACTTCAGGATTAAGAGGCAGCTAAACCCAGTGGTCTAAAAACAAACAGATATATGAATATTTTATTGTTACATCTGCTAAAGAAAGATTAAATCCCAACTACCTTCTCTGGCCTTAGGAGACATGAGCAGAAGGTCAGAAGATTCTATGTTGTGTGTATACACAAAACCTAGAAAGTTCCTTAGACTTAGTCACACTTTAAAATAATGGGACAATCAGTCTAGGACTATGCACTGTAATTTAAATGTTCTTACTCTTCTAACACAAAACAGTGACAACAGGACAGCCATGTGTCTTCTATGACTGCACTTTTCCTTCATCCGTGAAATCACTCATTGGTATGTTTGAATTTGTAGATGTTATCAGCGGTGTCAGGCTTTCCCCTAACTATAGTAGATGGCCAGGGAATCCTGGTTCCTAAGTGGTCAGGTAAACAGTCTCTGAAAAAGAAGATAACAAAGTGGACTGATTCAGGTAAACTGACTCATATTCAACAGAAGGGCAAACAAGGGTGGCTGTGGGAGGGGAGGGGAAGGAGACATCTCACCCAATTCAGACTCATCTAACAATAGACTTTTAGAAGAGTACCTCAGTCTTCCTCTTACAATCCAGAGGAATGGCAGTAATAGTTTCCCTTTCTGGCCAAGTAGATAAGGAAAGCATAACCATTAAGGGGCCATGACACACCAACTTGAGGAGCTGTGGCAGCTCCAGGGTCTCCTGCAACCATTCCATGTGTGTTATATATGCTATGGTACATAACCTAGGCATATTGAACTCCTAGGTATATTGAAGGAGTTCAGTATACCTAGGTTCAAATCCCAGCTCTGACACTATCTATGTCACACTGGATAGGTTACTGCACCTTTGTTTTTCTCTAAAGCAAAGATAATAATACTTATCTCACTGAGTTATTGGAAAGATTATGTAAAATATTTGCTTGATAACCATTAAACATTCAGTAAATGTTAATTCCCACTCTTACTAGAGGAGAAGCAAAGGTTTATATTCTATGAATAAAAGCGCACAATTATTTAGCAGACTGTGAGGATCTTTAAAAATGCTTGAGTTACTTCTGCCCTGTGGTTTTATTGTTTATTAACTGTCAGCAGGTTCTTCTCTGTACTAGACCTAAAGTGATGTCGCTTCAACTGTCTATTAAAAAGAACTTTACTCTCTTTTCCATCTGCTAGCCTTTAGAATCTAAGGTTTAGATATTTGCTGTTAGCACTGGCGCATGGGTTATTTTATTTTTTAATTAGTTATAGTATATTACTATCAGGTATTAATTCTAATGCTCAAATTGTACCACATTTTGCCAGTGGCAGCCCTTAAGGCTTTACGCATTGAAAGATACTTGTCACATCTTTTCTCCAAATCATCTGTTTAGAAGTCCTCAGTTTCTGTGGCTGTTTCTCATATTTGTATGTTTTTCAGATGCTTACACATCCTGGTTGCCTTCACCTAGATTTACTCTAGTGTGTAATGTCTATATAAAATGAGTTTTATAAATACATTTAAATGTAAATACATCTAAAAGGTACATAATACTACAGATGTATTCTAACTAATGTAAACATAGCTCCTTGTTCTAGGTCTAGCTGCTATGTGCAGATCCTTCCTAAAATGATGCACCATGTTTAGCATGTGTGTCCAGTGCTGGCTCATAAAATCTCCATGCCCTTTTTTATGGCCTGCTCTTATTCAGCCAGGTGACTTAGTAACCTGAGTGTAGGACTGCTTTATGTCTATTAGATTTTACCTTATTTAGTTCCATCTCAGCGTTCTAGCATGTACTGAATACAAGTTATCTTGTCCAGTGTGTTAGCCATATCTGTCTACATTACTGGATAAATGCATCTTCTGTAGCTTCATCCAGATTCTTGTTAAAAAGACAAGATTGGGAACAGAAGACTAATGCCCAACACTCCTCCTCATTTCTCACCTAAGGTCTGTAACTTGGAAACCTCCTTGTCTGAATTTTCTTTAACATCCCCAGGGAAGGAAATCCAACTGCTTTTCTCTATAGGAGAAAAGCTGAACTGTTTTCTTATGCTGTAAATCCTCTCTTGATGAGAACACAGTGTAATATTCTTAATCCTACAATAAAGACTGACAACACAATTTGGTTGCTTTAAAATGGCAATAGTAGCTTTCCCAGGGTTGCTTTTGTTCAGCACTTAAATGGGTCTATATAATTAGATTCCACCTTACACCCGTCTAATGCAAAATCGGTAGCGCCCTAAGGGGCAAACAGGTGTGCTTACTTTGGTCCATGGTGGTCTGAGCTCCTCCCTATTCTGTGCAGGAGTCAGTTCACAGTTTTCTGAACAGGTCATTCTACTGTGAATAGTCTTTTGACTATATGTGTATAAATCTTGGGGCTTTGCAGTCACACTTAGGAGAAATCTAGAATTATAGAATTCTAGTTAAGCAGGGCTGAGTAATGAGGTGACAGCCAAATATCTTGTTGTTTAACATGATGGATATCTTCTGAATCATTTCCAGCTAATGGTAGAAAAGCAATCATCTGCACTGTAATAGTTCCAGTGCATGCATTTGCCATTTAGCCTAGGCGTGCCAGAAACATAAAATAAATGCTTACTGAATGGAACAATACAAGCCTATCCCAGTACGGATACTCTCCATCCAAAAATCACTATAAATTTCCAGACATGTCCAGGTTGGCTGGAGAGTGGGAAATTGAAGTGAAATTGACTTGCTGGTACTCTTCTCTGAAAAAATTGTAAGGGAAGGAACACTGCTGAAACCTCTCAGGCTGGTATGTGGTTTGAAGAGGAACTTAAGTAGCAAGCTAATGTGAGCTGAGGTGCAATGTGGGCTGATAATAGTGATATGCTAAAGAAGAACGGGGAAATACCTGGAAACGCTGGATGTTTTCAGAGATAACCCAGTGGTCTTTAAACCTTGAATTATCATATCAATGCATCGGGTCATGACCAAGATTT